ATTTCATATGAGCTGTCCTATGATAGGGATTGGCACATACATACTTGCATAGTCAGAAATTATTTAAATGTTTATTGGCTAAAATACAATTTCTTTAATATATGCTTTTTGCTTTCTATTAAAAAATATGACTTCATCTGATAAAATATACCATGCAAATAATTTTAAAATCATGATAAAAGGTATCCAGATCCTAGGTCATCCTCTGACCTAGGATGAGTTGCCTTATTTTTCTGAACCTCAGTTTCCTTGTATAAAAGATGGGGTTGTTGATGTAGAACCTAACTTCACATGTTACTATAATTAGAAATTACATTGCACAGTGCTTGGCACACAATTGGTGCTTAATATATGGAAGCTAATGCCATTTAATAGCATTACCCATAGCCTATAGGGTCCCAATGTGTCCCGACAGAATTCACTGCCCTGCACCTGAGTAGGTGAAAGATGGGGGATCCGAGGTGTCTCTGGGACAGGTTCAGAGGGGAAACTTTTTGTCCATTACCTTCTCCCTTCATCCTCATCGACCTGTATCCCAGTGACTGGCGTCTCCTGGGAACCTGCAGGGTAAGTGTGGGTGGGGAGAGGATGAGGTGACACAGCTCATCCTAAACAGGTCTCCCTGACCTGCCGCTCTGCTCTGCAAGCCCAGCGCAATCTCAGCAGATCTCAGCCTGGGAACCGTCCTCCTGCACACCCTGCCCAGCCCCGCCCTGCCTACCACTTTCCTCAAGAGCCATCCCAGCCCTGCCCGTCTTCTTTGGATTTGCACTGCCCGGGCCTGACTTTTCTGGGGAAACTGCTTTGGGATTGAGGTTCACTCAAGGTGTGGTTCTATGACGATGGCCAGTGCACATGGCAGAGCCACAGGGTAGGGTGGAGAGGGGTGGAGTGGTGTGGGATGGGGTGACCTCTTTCCTGCCCCAGGGCCTGGGTGCTTTGCACAAATGTGGAAATCTTTTCCTCCTGAGTCTTCAGTTTGAGAGCAACTTAAATTCCCGCAGCTGTTGGGGTGGGGGCTGAGAGCCTGGGGTGGGCAGGTGCGTGAGGCCAGAGCTCTTGTAACAGCGCCATGGATGGATGGCTGGGCTGGACACTCAGATCTGGCATCTGGGAGCCACAGCTCAGAGAGAACAGGCCTTCAGTGTAGGGGTTCTCAAGATAACAGCAGAAACAGGGGCTTCAGCAAGGACCAGAGGGGTGGGGAGAAGCTGGACAGGAAGAGAGGGAAGGAAGGATATTCCAGGGGCAGGAAAGGTATCACAGAGGCAGCAGAGAGCCCTGCAGAAACAATAGCTAGCTCCCTGTGGCTGGAAAGTAAGGGTGGAGGGAAACTGCAGAGCGCCCTGAAGCCTCACCTCTTCCAGCCCTGCTCATGTTTAGAGCCAGGGCTCAGCCCTCCCTGTGGTTTGCACACTCTTTGCAGAGTTGAGGGGTTACTGAGGCAATGACAGGGACTTCCATGACCCTCAGGTCCCCCACTGCCCACTCCCCGCACATGAATGGCCTCCCCCAAGAAAGAAGAGGCTGCCTGATCACTCTTGCGTCCTGGGCAAAGGCCCATCAACGCCGCCTCCAGGCTGGCCTCCTGGTGTTGGACACAGCACATCTCCTCTCTAGCCCTGGGTGGGCAGGGGAGCTGATCCCCAGCACTCACACTCTGGGCCACCCCCACCCTGCTCACAGAGGCTCCAACACTGACCCAGGCACTGGAGCTTGTAGAGATTGGGTTCTTCTCAATCTACAAGGTCCACAAGTCAGGAGTCCCAGAGACCTAGGTTCAAACCCCTCTTTGCCAGTTGCTAACTGGATGGCACATTGCTTAAACTGTCTGAACCTCGGTTTCCTCGTCTGCCATGTGGGAGTGACCTGTGGGCCACAGGTGCTTGTTCAGAGACAACAGTTCTAAGTGCCTGGTGCAGGGGCAAAGTGAGAACCCACGAGACACATGTTGTGCAGAAAAGAAGTTAGTTGACCTGGATCCTCTGTATTTTCCCCAACTTATACTGGGTCTTCCTCTCTACGCAATAACAGGGCAGGCTAAACCTTCAGAGGGGATCTGTACCCAGATAGGTAAGTGCCCATGCTATGCTGTGGGGACCTAGAGTTCAGCCTGGTCCCCGCTGTACCACCAACCTACCCCACCCCTAACTGAGGCCATTCAGAGAGCCTGGCCCTGGGGTCCGCCCTGAGCCCAGCCCTCCCCACTACCTGGGCGGACCCACGAAAGTGCAGGACCGGCCCCACCCTTTCCAGAAACCAGGCTGCAGAGTTAGGGGTGGAGGCTGCACAGAAGCAAGCTCCACCACCTTCATCTGGGCAGTGGCACAGTCCTGGCCAAGTACCAGGAGAGACAGCCCATGGCAGTGGCTCTCATCCCCCAGCTCCCTGCAACCAACTCCCAGGGGTCTGGTCAGGGAGTTGGCATGGCCCTGGCTCCCAGATGGAAAGAGAGGTCCCCTGAGGCTCTCTGTAAATCGCTCTGCAAGGAGGGCCCAACCTGACTGAGCACTGGTGAGCCTGGCTTCCCAGCCCCGGAGCCCCTGAGAGTGGCTAGTCGCAGTGGCTAGTCACAGGACAGTGGCCCCACTACAGCCCCTTCCCACTCCTGAGCGGTCAGGAGGCCCAGACCAGCTCAGGGCCATCCTGTATCTTCAGTGTTTGATTCCACACCATGGCAATCAAAGAAGCAGTGGACATAATGAATTAACTACATGTAGCTATTTTTCCTACACATATTCACCTGTGATGAAGTTTGATTTATAAACTAGGCAAATAAAATAAAAATATTGTAACAATGAACTACAATAAGAGTTATATGAAAACCTCTCCCCCCCCTAAATATCTTACTGTACTACTGTGTCCCCCCTTCTTCTGATGACTATGGGTGATTGAAACCCCAGAAAACCTAATGTAGCCAAAACAGCCCTTGAATACTTTCATCGCCAATAAATGGGGAATATTGAGGGGGAGGGGTTAAAGGTCTTTCCTGGATCCCAGGTGACTTTAAAGAGAAAAGATATAACATGGGACTGACCTCAGGGGAGATGCAGAGGAGAGCAAAGGCTGCCTCCTGGCTCTGCCTCAGGATGTAGTTTTGGGGAGCACCCACCTCAATGGGCACAGAAGAGTGATCCTAAGGATCCGATGGGAAGGGAGGAGCCAGAGGCAGGACCAAGGCTGCTGCCATCCCCTTATTGCTCTGAGGGTGACCCCTGAGGCATAGGAGGTGGAACCCCACAGGTACTTGATGTGGTTGGAAAATTCTGTCATTCTGGTTTTGGAACTGATGCCACTGTCTCCAGGGGATGGGGTGCTGTCACATCTGTCCTACCCTGTAGACTAGGGTGAGTAGAACTGGGGTTGTGCCCAGGATCTTCTTCTTAGGCCTGAGTCCCAGGCTCTTGCCTCCTGCCTGTTTGGGGGACACTTACATGAGGTCTCCTTGTCTCCCCCATTGGAAAATGCTTGGCTTCTGCTAATAGCTGTGGATCTTCAAACACACCATGCTAACTCCTGCTTCTAGGACATTATACGAGGCCCTCAAAACCCACACACAGACCTCGTCCCCCGTGACATTCTCCCCCTCTCCCTCTGAGACTCAGGGTAGACATACTTTCCTCCAGAAAGCCCTCTGCCTGCCAAGGCCAGGGGGACCCCATCTGTGCTCCCCAGCCCCTATGCCCTCCTTGCTGCCATGCTAAGCTGGAGCCTGCGACTTGCTGTGTCCTGTGGGCCATGCCAGCTCAGATCCCAGCACACCTGTCCAGGGCCAGGCCCAGCATTCAGCTCAGGAGGTGGCTGTCCACAGGATGGACCGAACGAACAAGGAACAGAGCTAAGGCGGAGCCCCTCCCACTCACCCCAGGACCGTGTTCTTGTGGTGTCAATCACTGGTGTCTGTCACAGTGCTTGGCACACAGCATCAACAGGCCTATACTATATCCCAAGGGTATAAGGGGTGACGCAGTCCTGAGTGGCACTGAGCTAGTGGTCGCAGCAAGGCCCACGTGCTCAGAGTGAGAAGAGGTGGGTTTCCTATGCCTGCGAGCTGTGGACGCCTTCTAAGAGACAGGGCCCCTGGGCTCCTGTGGATGGATGGCAAATACGTAATGGGCAGAGGCATTCCAGGAGACAGAGTGGCCGGAGCGAAGGTTTGGCAGTGCAGGAGGACAAGCCCCTTTCAAGGATGTAGCCTGGAGGCCTTTGAAACAGCTTCTCTCCCATCCTGTGGGGTTTGCATATCCTGTTAACTGAAATCCATACACTGTGGTCCCCAAGAAGTGGCTTTAAGCCGTAGAGGATATACAGGTCATCAGAAGGGGAAAACCAAGTCACCCAGACTGGGCCAGGCCTCTCAGAAGCTCCAGCCTCAACAGCTGCCCAGGAAACCAGCCTCCTTTCCTCCCTCAAGGGCTCTCTGCCCCATAGACGCTTGGCTCTGAGTGCCCTGGCCAGGAGGAGAAAGAAACAGCAGCTATCCAAAGAGGACTGCATTGTTCTCAGGGAGTGAGTCAAACAGTGGGCACCCCACACACACGACAGTGCCCTCCCCAAGGTGCTGCTCCCCATGACTCACAGTGGCTAAAGTCACAAGCCCCTTCCACTGTTGGTGATTCCCTTCTGGGCTCTGAGAAGACGTGAGCATTCCCTGCCATGGCCTCTCCCATCTGGAGGCAGATGGAAGGGACCAGACGCGCCTCCGAGCTTAGCCAGATACCAGGGCTCTGATGGCCACCCTGACTTCCTGAGACTAGGATCTCATCTCAGGGGAGGTGACAGAAATGCCATTCTGTGTGTGCAGTGTGCGATGGCTTTTTATTCCTGGCATGGTGTGGGCAGGGGGCAGGCAGGAGTGCTGGCTTCCAGCTAGGCCATCTCCTGGTCTCCAGACAGGACCCTCCTGGGGTTCCCAGGAGGGTCCCAGGAGGGTCCCAGGAGCTGAGGTGTGCGAGGCAGGAACACAGGCAAGGAGAGCTTTGGTGAAGAAGACGTGGGCTCTACTTCCAGCGCCCAGTGACCTTGGCCTTCCCGCGGGTCTTGGAGCTGCAGGGGAAAGCAGGACCATTACATGGAGGCACAGTAGCAGGTCTCCAGGGGGAAGGGATAAAATTGAGAGATGCTGAGGGTTAAGAGGAGCAGCCTGGAGCTACCTCCAGGGGCAGAACAGGGCAGCAGCCGCAAGCTGGAGTGAGACCTCTGGTCCTACACACCATCCCCTACTGTCAAGGAACCGCCAAGAGGGAGAGAAGGGAGAATTGTTGGAGGAGCCACAAAGGGAAGTCTACAAGCTGAAGAAGAGGAGGAAGGGGTGGGAGTCCAGAGCTCTCCAAGGAGCAGGATGGCTGGAAGAGGGGGACAGAGCGGGCAGGAGATAGGGACTGAAAGAAGGACCTCAGACACTTACACTTTCTGGTTGTCATTGATCCTGTTTCGAAGGACATTGATCTGTAAGAAAAGTGGAGAAGACAAAGAACAATTCAGCTCAGGTCCCAGGAGGCCTGGGATGAGGGAGGTGGGAGCTCAGTGCAGCCCAGGGGAGGGCGAGAGGGCACGGACGCCGTTGGAGACAGGATGTGGGGTCGAGGTGCATGAGCTGAATGGAGTGACTGGGGACATGGAAGAGGTCCTGAGGGACAGCAGTGGTGTGGACCCAGTCAAACCAGGAGAAGCATGGCGTGGGAGGGGGTGTGTAGCGTGGGGCTCACTTCATATTTCTGCTGCTTGAACTTCTCCTGCAGGTCGAACTTCTCTGCCTCCAGGTTATAGATGCTCTGCCACAGTTCCTTGGCTTTCTCCCTGCATGCGCCACAGTGGGAATGGAGCAAGGGTCAATAAGGACAGCCCTCACTGCCCTTCACCCTGGTCCTGACCCAGCCCCTGGGGCCCCAATGGCAGTGCAGAGTGTGTAGGAAACAACACCAGGGGCTTCCAGAGCAGAGTTCTGAGAACTGGGAGGAAGCAGGAGAAGCCCTCCTGGCACAGAGATCATTTAGCTCAATCCCCCTCCTGCCTCCAGTGAGCAGGTGAGCAAGTTTAAGTGCCAAGTGCAGACAGTTAAGGGGCCTGCTCAGTTCTCTCTACCTATCCACAAAGCTCAGGTGGGTTGGGTCTGACCTGCCCCAGCCTGAATTCCCAGCAAACCCAGTTTAGGAAATGTGAGGGTGGGGCGCCCTCTGGTGGTTCCCAATGAGAAGTGCCCTCCACCCAACCTCCAACCCCTTACTGAGACCTCAGTGCCCAAGGTATCATGGGCCTGGCCCCACCTCAGTTGATCTTCATTCAGGTGGTCGATGGCCAGCACCTTCCTCCTCTCGGCCAGAATCTTTTTCTTTTTCTCACGTTCAGTCTGCCTCTTCCCAGTCTTCCGCTCGGTCTGAATGGGGTGTGGTAAGCAGGGGGACATAGCTAGAGACCACCCCTCCCTGTCCCCTTACCCTCCCAAACTGCCCCTGGGAGTAGGATGCTCCTGCAACACCCCACACCATCCTCTGCCTGAATTCCCCTGGGAAACTGAAGCAAGGGCAGTGAGGATCATCTCCACCCCTTCCTCCCATGCCTAGATGGTGTCCTCCACCTCTCTGGGCTTCCTCCTCCCCACCCAGCCAGAACTCTGCACTCCCCTCCCCAGCAAGGCACCTCCCCTCCCAGGGATCTCCTTACAACTAAGGGGAGAAAGAGAATGTGAGGTTTTGGTACCCACCTGGGCTTGCTAAGCCAGGAAACCATGAGAGAAAGACCCAGAGAGAAAGATCGAGACCGTGACAGAGACATAGAGAGAGAGGCAGAAGACAGGCAGAGAGACAGGGAGGAAAAAGTGATTCAGACGCTCAGCACAGGCCTTCTGGTGGACAGGGAGGAAGCTAGGGCTTTGGGCAGGGGCTACTTTGATAGCTCTTGGCTGATAGGGTCACCATAGGGCAGAGGCATGGTGCCAGAGTTGGGGACTTTGGAAATCTAAGAAAAAGTTCTGATCTTTCCAGTTGCGTAAAGAAAATCAACACCTCCTCCTCCAGTGGGGCAGAGGAACAAAGTGAGTTCCTAGGAACAAACTGCCTCATGGAAAGTATAACAGACACCTTCCATGTTAGCTCATGGGACCCTCTCAAAAGAGCAGGGCAGGCAATATCAGTCCCATATGAGGAAACAGACTGGGTCCACACAGGTGTGTGCGGCACAGCTGGGTCAACCAGGCTCTGACTCCAAGCCCAGGGCTCTTCAAGCTGCACCCAACCATCTTGGAGGTACCTGGGCCCCCAGGGAGCTAGAGGTGTATTAGCCTCTACCCACAGCAGGCCCCTCATAGCAAAGCCACAGTTGGGCTGAGAGTCCCCCGGGCTGGGCCTGAGGAGCCCTCAGACTCCTACTCTGCAAAGGGGAAATTGTTCCTGGAATTCAATATAAAGCTGCCAACTACAGCTGACTCCTCACTTCTCAAGGGTACTCCGGGACCTCCTGGCTACCCCAGCTGCCCCCTGCCTACCTTCTGGATGTAGCCTCCAAAATGCATCATGTTAGACAAAGCCTTCTTCTTCCGGGCCTCGTCCTCGGCCTTCCTCCTGTTCTCCTCCTCCTCTCGCCGGGCCCTCTCCTCCTGGTTTTCAGAGAGGAGGAAGAGGGCAAATTAAGGGTGAGGGGGGGAAAGCCTGGCTCTGGGCTGAAGCCAGGGGTCTGCATGGGTGGAATGAGCTCTCTCCCCACTGGGCAAGGAGCTGCAGAGGGTGCCCCAGTCCTGGGCAAGCACCTAGGGCTCTGGAAGGGACCTCAGCAGCTGCACAAGAGAGGACAACGGGGCCCTTGGTTCTTAGCCTGCACTAGGGAAGGGATAAGACCTAGGGAGTCTTAAAACATCAAGATCGGGAGGCCCCAGCATGTCCATCTCGTTCACTGGTGTGATGTCAGAGCCAAGACCATGGCCCCTGCTGACTTGAATGGCATCTATGAATAGAGAGCTGGGAGCTGTCAGGGACACTCACAGCCAGGCGGGTCTGCCGTTCCTTCTCCCGCTCATTACGGATGCGCTGCTGCTCAGCCCGCTCAGCTCGGCGCTTCTCCTAAGGAGAGAGGCAGAGGCCCCAGTGTGCATCTGAGAGGTGATGTCACCAAGGGACAGGGACCCACAAGGGATGCCCTGGCTCCAAGTGCTCTCAGCCAGCTCCACAGATGCAGACGGAGTCCACCCCTTACCAGGTGGGCCCCACAGAAGAGTGTGCTGACTGTGTCAGGATGGCCACAGAGGACACGACAGGGGACCCACACCCAGCATTGCATGTCGGAGACCGTCTCCACTATGTGGCTTTTGCGGTCTCCCACAAGGGTTATGCTGCTGCCCCAGCCCTGGCCTCTGGGTTCAAAGATAGACAGCCAAGTCACGGGTTGCTGAGCAGAGCTACAGACAGGCAAGTTAGGCGGAGAGGAAGAAAGGAATCAGAATAACTCTGTCCCCAGTGCAATGAGCTAGAAGCCTGCAGGTCACTCCCATGGTCCCTGCATTAGCTGGGTGGCTGGGCTTGGTGGGGAAAAGGCAGGGACGGAGAGACCTCGGGTGTTTGAGTAGTCATCGCACAGCCAGGGCCTGGGCTAGGTACTGCCAAGGTCCAGCTTCTGCCAATAAGGAGCACCCAGGCTGGCAGGGAGAGAAGGGAACCCAAGGAGCCACCATGCAGGGATGCAAGAGCAGCTCACTGCAGCAGGGATCCTGAGGAAGGGCCACACTCTGCAGGACCTGGAGCCCAGGCAGGCTGCTGGAGGAGGCCGGCCTCATGCGGGGAGGGACAGGGATGCTGAGGGAGGTGGGCTGGAGGCTGGACACCTACGATCCTGTCTTTGAGAGAAACCAGTTCCTCCTCCTCCTTCTTCCTGTTCTCAAAGTGAGCCTCGATCAGCGTCTGCAGCTCATTCAGGTCCTTCTCCATGCGCTTCCGGTGGATGTCCTGTGGGTGGAGCCCTGGGGCTTAGAGGCTGCCACCTTAGTCCAGTGGACGGGTGAACCAGACAACCCCTTAGTCCAGTGGACGGGTGGACCAGATAACCCCTGCCCAGGGCAAAAGGCTCTGAATCCAAGCCAGCACTCAAGGGTTGGCACCCAGCCTGGCCTCTGCTAAACACCATTCTACCCATCTGCCCCCCAGCCCACAAAGCCACAGGGTCTCCCATCTCCTTGGAGCTCTCGTGACCACTCCCAGCCCAGACCTACTCTACCCACAGCCACCACTCACATCAAAATCCACTCTCTCTCCATCAGGGATCTTGGGTGGCACCAAGTTGGGCATGAACAGCCTGTTGGGAGGGGAGTACGAAGTCAGAGGAGTAACCCCGCTCAGAACCCGAGGGGCTGCAAAGGGCAGGCAGGGCCTTCTCCTTCCTGCAGGGACTTCCACCACGGCCCCAGCCAACGCACAGTGCTGTCACACTAATGTCAACCCTAGTAGTCTCCACGCTTGCTCAGCACCTGGGAATACACAGAGCCCTCTCACACCAGCCATTGTGTTCTTATCCTCACAATATGCCCAGAGAGAAGGCAGCAGCGTCCCTCTCCCTTAAGATTGAGAGGCTGAGACAAGATGGCGTATGGGGCTGAGTCCACATCCCTGTGGTTGACCCTGAGACTCTGTCCAGGAGCCCAGGGATTCCCACAATTTGGTGTTGATCCCAACACACATTTGGAGTATGTGACACCAGGCCAGGGTGGGGTCTCTGGTCCTTGGTTTCCCCATCTGCCCTCAGGTCTGTCTGATGCTGAAATGAGATTATGCAGGGTACATACAGTGGCCAGCAAAGGGGAGGGGGCTGGATGCGGGAATGGGGCTCAGCCTGGCTTGGGAGGGAGCTGGTTTCCGATGAACCCACAGAAGTGGGGCCAGGCCCGCGAGTGGACCCGCACCATCTGCTGGCAGGACAAACGTCACCAAGAGGGAAATGCTCCCTGCCTCCAACCGCCATCTAGAGCCTCCAGGGGTGGTATCGTATGCAGCCAAGCTGCCCTGTGTTTGGGGCTCTCTGAAGCCACCACACCTGGGCTGGCATGGTATGTTGCTTGGTTTCCCAAATTCTCCTCCCTTTTTCCCCAGGTCCCACCTCAGCCCTGGAGGAGGGGGTTCTGGTCATCCTGGGATAAAGGTGGGTGTGTCTGTCTGCCCAAGGCCCTGACTAGTCCACCCCCTTTCTCTAGCCCCATCCATGTCAGGGTGCATGAGGTAGCGGAATGTGGGGTAGAATTCAGCCCCATTCACTCCCTCAGGCAAAGAGCCTTGTGCAATATACAACCTGTGCAACCATATGTGGTAGTCTGTGCCTATTACACCCCCAGCTCATGCCCACTGTGCCACGCTGCACTCCCATCTTGTCCTCACCGCCCTCCCTCCCAGGGCCTTACCACAGGTGCCTCCCACTCACCTGGGCTTGGGTTTGGACTCCTCCACTGGGCCATCTGGAGGAGAGAGAAACACACAGCCCCAGGGTCAGGAGGCCCAGGCCTGGTCACAACTCCACCCCTGTGGGCTGGGGGCCTGGGGGCCTCCGTTTCCCCCTCTGAACAGGGAGTCCCAATTCCAGGAGCACCAAAAGCCTGAAGGCAGCTGGGGTTGTAAACCCCCAAATTCCTGTCCCACAGCAGCTGGGGGGTGGGGGGTGTCAGGGGACAACAGGGTTGGGCACACACACTCGGCGCGGGACTAAAAAGCCTTCTCTTGTTCAGCAGTTCCACACAAGGCAGGTTTGCTTCTCTGCTTCACTGTGAGGAGGGGCCTGTGGAAAGGTCCCTGGGGGCTCTGGCCCCAGAATCCTCTCCCAAGTCAGCCATCTTGGTTGCCCCTTGGACTTCCTGGAGGCCACTAGGAGGGCCAGAGATCTGGGCCAGAAAACTAGTGGGCAGGATTCCAAGCCTCAGCCGCTGTCTTTGCTGAGGAGGTGTGACTGCAACCACCTGGCAGCCTGGTAAAGGCTGTGATGTGACGGTGGCCACGTCGATGGCCCACCACACGGCCACCTGAGCCGTGGGAGTTCATCTTACAAACACTGCACCCAACTACTATTCAGCCTCTGTGCCAGGAGCTGCCTGAGTGCCTGTGACTTCTGCGTCCCCTTGTCTGCCCAGATCAGGGGCCTGGACACTCTTCCCCTCTCCTACTGGGCACCCCCAAAGCAGCTTCTCTGAGATGAGGAGGGTCAGGGGTTAAGAGTTATTTGTCCAAAACTCTATCTTCCTTTCTCCTGCCCCAACTCCCTGGAAGGAAGCTGTGGACAGTCTCTCCCAAGCTACTGTGAGGAGTCCTGGTGTGTCCCCCAAACCTCTCTCGATGTCCACAGCCTCACCTTCAGCCTCTCTGGCTTCCTCTTCTAGTCCATCTTCTAAACAAAACATGAGGGTTAATGAAGGTCCAGTTCCAAGCTCAGACTGCCCCCAAGAGCCTTCCCCACAAGCAGGTCCTGGCTCAGCCCAGCCTGCTGGCTTCTGGTGTTGGAGTCTTTCACACACACACACAGTGCCCCGGGCTCGTACCTTCGGCCTTGGTCTCATCCTCAGCCCCAGTCCCATCTTCAGCCTCCTCTTCTGCTGCCTCGTCCTGCTCTGCAGAAGTGAACCAGACCCAGTGAATAACCTGGCCCTGCAGCACCCAGAACAGAGAGTGGACAGGAAGGGGGCACCCAGAAAGGAGAGCAGAGACAGGGACCCAGGGCCAACAACTTCCGGGTCCAGATGGATTGGGGTCAACCAATGTGAATGGGAGGCTGCTCTGTTCTTGATTTAAACCAAATGTCAACAAATATATATATATATATACCTAATCTGGCCCCCCAAAATGTCCTTGTACATGAAGTTGGCCTGCAGTCACCCCCACTCGTTCATGTCCTGTCTGTGGGTGCGTTTGGGCCCCAGTCACAGAGCTGAATAGTCGCGGTAGAGACCGTGGCCCGAAAGGCCTCCAGTATTTACTCTCTCTTCCTGTGCAGAAAGAGTTCACCACCCAGGGGGGGGGGGGGGGGGGGGGGGGGGGGGGGGGGGGGGGAACCACAACAGAAGGGCACAGTCAGGCTTGTGAAGAGTTGTTTGGTCCCAAATTTGCCTCTCTGGGAGTTTGGGAATCAGAACTGGGCCTTTCCCAATATGGAAAACTGTTCCCTACCTGGAGGTCACCAGGAGGGCCAGAGATCTGGGGTAGAAGCAGATTAGGATGTGGGGTCTCTCTGGGGCTCCATCTGCCTGACCTGACCTCAATGACCTCCCTGGGGGTCTGACTCCAGCTCATTCCCCAACTTTCGACCCCAGGAGTTCCACCCAGTGCCTGGCACCATAGGATGGGCCCTGCTTAAGGTGAGATGTCAGGGAAGCTCCTGTCTGGGTCCCAGGGACTCTCCAAGTCCCTTCCTCTGTGTCTAAGTGAAACCAAGACAGTGAGCCTGTGTGGGTGGATGAGATGCCCACAATTAGTATTTGTACTATCCAAAAGGTTGTCAGGATTTCTCTGTTTTCATCCATTTGCTTAGCAGGATGTGAACCCTGCCCTTTCCGGCTCTTGGAGTAGACAGATTTGGGGGCAGACAGGGTGACATCACCACCACGGCTCTGCCTGTTGAAGTGCTTGGCAAGGCTCCTTGACTGATTGACAATGACAGCCTCTTGATGCAAGAGGCAGAAAAAAATGCCCCAGGACGGAAGGAAGGGCTCACATCCAGAGAGAGAGTTCAGCCTCCTTCCCTCTGCCCCATGCTCTCACCCCTCCTTTCCCAAGTCTGAATCTCTCTGAGGCCTGGAGATGCCTCTTCTTTGATCCCTGCAAGAGGCTTACCTCAAAAAAGATCCTTCCAGAAGGCATGAGTCTAGAAGGCCAGTTTTGGGGTCCCCCTTCAGGCCACCGTTTTAATGCCTCTCTGGCCCACCCCATGTGTGCCACCACTCACCCAGGGGTCATGCCACAGACCCGAAGAGGGGGTGCTCCCTGCCCCTCCTGGCTACCTACCGCATCTTGGGACATCACTGTGGGCCTAAGTTTGTTCTAAAATAAGCCCCAGTCTGCTTCCATTGCCCTCGTGCTAACCCTGGGCGCTGGGGACAAGTCCAGCCCCACCCCTCCCCTCAGCAGTGCACATCTAAAAGCTGACATCATGTCCTCTCTATTCTGGCTATTTCCAGTGCCCCAGCTGCTCTTCAGATGACTTTACCCCAGGCCCCTTGACCCCTGGCCACCCTACCTGGGAAAGGCCAACTCATAGGGAAAGACCCAGCCTGGAGCCCTGGGATGTGCAGTGGGGGCGGGACAGGGGGGCTATTCACCACAGTCAGGAGCCTCCCTCTATGGCCCCCTATGAGGAGCACAGGGAAGACCAGCCAGCCTGGGTCTTTCCCACTGCCCAGCCCAGGAGGAGCCAGTGACCCTGGAGGACACGCAGGATGAAGGTCTCAGAACTGTGGTCCTGGCCCCTCTGAGACTGGGGAGGAAAGTGACTGACCCACTCAGCACTCCCCGCCCCAAGGACAGGGCCCCTGGACAAGCAGGTGGCACTCAGGACAGCAGGGAGCTGAAAGCAGGCAGGAAAAGCTGTACTACCGTCTTCGTCCTCTTGCCAGTCTTCCTCTTCCAGGTTCAGGGGTGGCAGCAACGGAGGGGAGAAGCGAGACAGGTTAGTGTGGGGGGAGAGCCTGGGCAGCTTGCAGCAGCGCAGGGCGTGGCCGTGACCATGCGGGGCTTGCAGTTAGCCTAAGGCCCACTTTGAGCAGCTCGGACAACTCCCTGCTCGGTAACTCCCGGAGCCCCAGGTGCCTGGTCAGTAAATGCAAACCATGACCTCACTCCCAGCCCACGTGAGAACCGAACGCTCTGGCACACCTTGACAGAGGGAAGCATTCAGTAAGCACTAACTAGCAGCTCCCTGCTCTGCCTCTAGACCTCGCAGCCTGGGACAGAGGCACCAAAAGAGCAGAGAAGGAGAAACAATTGATAACTGTCAAACTTCTCTACATTCCTGCTCCAAGTGAGTCTCTTGGACAAATCCCGTTTCCAAGTCGCACTTGGAAAGCCCTTCTGGGAGTTGGTACCCGGGGTGCTTCCCTGGCCTGGAAAAGGAAGTCAATCATCTAAGGCAGAGCACAGTTAACCCAGAGGAAACGTCTGGCAACTTCCTCGCTGTTCCAGCTGAAACCCTCCACCCCAGGAAGAGCTCACGCAGTGGAACAATTAGTCTCCCAGAGGAAGAGATGCTCAGCGCTGTCCATACTGGAAGCACTGCGGCCACTCATAGCCCTTGATCTCCCTTGGTCACCAACAGCCAGGTCCTTAGCTGGGAAGGGGGCTCACTGCACAGGGCTCAGACCCCTCTCACTGCAGAGAATTATTTTGTTAACTCAAGACTAAATCCCGCTGCGTGTAGCATGCAGATTGGTCCCAAATCCAGAGGTCCAGCTTTCAAACCCTGCCACCAAAACCTGCCTTCATGACGTGGAAAATCCCAAAATAAAGGAAGCTCCATCATGTCAAGAGCTGGTGCAGGGAACACATCTAGAGATTGCTCCTTAAGGATTTGGTGTTCCAGGAAAACCAAACGTGATTCCAGTGTGTCTGGCTGGTTTTGCCTTTGAATCTCTCTCCAGTCTCCTCTTTGGCTAGACGCCCTTGGAGCGGCCCTAAATGTGCAGGAGATGCCCCCTTTTTCCCTAGAAGGCCTGGGGAACAAAGGAAGACCAGACCCTGAAACCCCACCACCTCTCTTCCTGGAGCTTCCTGAAGACCCTTTCCCTAACCTCTGCACACCTTGTGCTGACATGATATTTTGAGAATCTGCTGAGCCACTAAGAGGCAGGTTCCAGCCTGCCTGTGATACTGAGGCTTGTGGCGCCCGAGGGCCATTCTGGGCCATTTGTGGACTGGGTGGGGATGGCAGTGAGGTCTCTTAATCACTTCCTGTTTCAGGATCTCAGGAAGGAGAGGCCAGGGAGATCTTCCAGTGACATCGGGGAACTAAAGCTGAGGAGGGCAGATGTTAACACCTCCAAGAACAGGGACAACAAGACAGGCCTTTGCTAGACAATACCAATAAATCTCCATGTCTGTATATAATGTCTCAGGTAACTGGGCCTCTGCATATTCGTAATTGAAAGACTATTAAATGGAACGTTCTTAGGTGGGACCATGACATCGGGGTTATGGGGCTTTTTTTATAGTGCTTATCTTTAGAGATACACGCTGAAATATTAAAGCATGAAATGATGATGTGTGGGAATGATTTGGGATGCATGTTTCAAAATAACTGGGGGCAGATGGAGAGAGATGAAAGAAGAATAGACATGAGCTGATGATTGTTGGCTGGGTCCTGAGTCTGGAGGGTGTTTGGGGGTTTGGTTGTTTTTTTGTTTTTGGGGTTTTTTGTTTTATTTTGTTTTTGGGGGGGCGTTGCTGTTGTTTTGTTTTGAGGGGGCACAGATTCTACGTTTATATGCCTTTCAGATTTTCCTTGGTAAAGAAAACATAAAAATTATTAGGAAAAGTGGTAAAGGAAATAGTTGACAGCTGGACACGGTGACACACGACTGTAATCCCAGCAGCTTGGGAGACTGAGGCAGGAGGATCACAAGTTCAAAACCAGGCTCAGCAACTTAGCAAGGACCTAAGCAACTCAGTGAGACTCTGTCTCACAATAAAATACAAAAAAGGGCTGGGGAGGTGGCTCAGTGGTCAAGTGCCCCTGGGTTTAATCCCCAGTACCAAAAAAGAAAAGAGAATAGTTGACAAAGGAGACAGATTTAAACTTTATATCTGTCTCAAGACCAAGCAATTAAGGTAGGCTGCCCCCCACGAAGGGACCACAGCTGTTGGGAATCTTTGCTCAGCTGGGTTCAGGGCAGAGACAGGCCCAGGGCTCCCAGGAATAGTGGACTCCTGATATCCCTCCTGTCCGGCCCTCCACCTGCCCAAGGTACATACCTTCCACAGCTGTTTCTGCTCAGAAGAGAAGGCCAGGCCAGTGAGAGAAGAGAGAAGAAGTGGGTCAGTTTCCAGCCACACTGTCCTCCATCCAAATGTGCATACGTGTGTGTGCTTACCTTCCTGCTCCCTGGGTGCAAAGGAAGATACTCTCAATGCCTGCGCACATTCAAGAGTCCCCACATGCATGTACGCGCGCGCGCACACGCACACACACACACACACACACACAGACCAGCCTTTCCCAGAAGATAACCCCATGTTTCATTCCCTCTTGCTTCGTGGAGTTCACCCTTCTCTCCTGCTCTGCAAAGGCCCCCACTAACCTGGCCCACTCTTCTCACCCAAGCTATGTGTCACTGCCCCCAGCAAACTTCTGCATCAGCCTGCTTGGTCCCTTTAGTGTTCTGCCAGCTTCCTCCTCTGACCTCACCTCTGGACTTCCCTCGGGCAGTGCCCCTTTCTAGAAAGCTTTTCTCCCCCCCCCAAACCTCTTTGCTCTCCGAATGCTGTGTTAGTAAGACCTGTCTTCTCCACAAACCTCCTTTGGCCATCCCAACGCCCGCTACCTCCCTCTGCGCCCCACACCTGCTTGCTAATTCCTTCCTGCAGTTTGTTGCACCCCAACAGCCCTGTGAGGACAGGGGCTGTGTGTGTGGCTCTGGGAACCCCCTGGCAGCACTCCTCCACAGGAGACTGTTATTGGTTTGCCTAGTGGCGAGCCTTTTCCAGCTTCTCTCCAAGACAGGACTGCGGACCAGCACCGTCCTTCGCGCATAGGGACCCAAGGTGGAGTGTTAACGCTGGGCTCTGAGTGGGCGTGGTGGGGCATCAGAGGAATCCCAGCTTCTTGGCTCCTCAGCTAGTGGCTGGTCCCCACCCAGGTTGGACCCTGTTGACCCTGGAGCTGAGCTCCGGTGTTCCCAAAGTCCCCCAGCCTGAGATCTGCCTGGGGTCTGCTGCCCAGAGGTATAGAAGTGGAAAGAAAGAGGCCATATCCACCAGAATCTAGAGCAGGCAGCTAGGTGGCTCCTGAGGGGAGTGAGTGGCAAGGTGGAGGGGTCAACACTGGAGACAGGATGCTCCCAGATACTCACTCCTCATACTCCTCCACCACCTCTTCTTCCACGTCAGACATGGTCTCTGCTCTGCCTCCAGAAAGAGAAAGATGTGAGAGCTGGCAGAAAGGGAGCCTGCCTTCCTCTAAGAGCTCTGGCCTCAGGTGGAGCAGGATCAGGGGGCCCTGGGGTGAATCTCACCCCACCTCTTATTAGCTATGCGACCTGTAGGGACAAGCCTGTTTCCTCCTCTGTAAGAAGAGATCGCAGCACCAGCATCATAGCCAAGCAGCCAGCTAATGTCCCTTTCATCCCTTGCCCCCAGCAGGCATGCTGTCTGGGATTTTGTGTTCCCATTTATAACTCTGAAAGCAATGTTTGTCAACTCGCTCCACCTATCCAGTCTGCAGATGCCTTCAGGGCAGGGGGGTGCTGACAAGTCCACCCCTGTCCTTCTGCAAGAGCACCCCCTGGGAGGGTGACATGGAATGCCATGGAATGCCACTCAGCGATCGAAAGAAATGAATCATTGATGCACACAACTCAATGCGTCTTCGGGAAATTCTGTTGATTGGGGAAAGTTAGTTCCAAAGGTCATACATATGATTCCACTTATATAACATTCTTGAAATGGCAAGATTATAGAAATGGGGAACAGATTCGTTATCAGGGGTGTGTGGAGGGTGGGAGGGAGGTGGAAGTGGTATACAAGGGTACTTGTGGGCCCTTGTGATTTTGCAACTGTTCAGTGTCTTGACTGTGGAGATGTGTACATGAATCTACACAGGATAAAACTATAGAATTTAACACACACACACACACATACACACACACACACAGAATACAAGTGAAGCTGGGAAAATCTGATTAAGATCCCCAATGGACTTATCAATGTGCACATCCCGGTTGTGATATTGCACTATGGAGTATTTCAAATGTTTTCATTGAGGACATTTGGGCAAAGGATGTAAGCAATGTCTCTGTATTATTTCTTGCAACTTTCTTAAAATTGCATATTAATCTATGCTACCTCAACAAAAATAGTTTCCCAGCCAGGTGTGGTGGTCCACACCTGTAATTACAGCTACTTGGGAGGCTGAGGAAGGAGGATCCCAAGATAGAGACCCATCTGGGCAACTTAGAGGCCCTGTCTCAAAATAAAATAAAAAGGGCAAGGTGGGGAGGGGTGTTGTATCTTAGTGGTAGAATGCTTGCCTAGCATCTATAATGGTCTGGGTTCAATCCCTGGTACTACCAAAAAAAAAAAAAAAAACACAGTTTCCCTGGGAAACTTGTGTTGAGATGATCCTCTCTGGTGATAGGCTGGAATGATCTGGATGCCAGTCTTCCTCATTCATATGCTGAGGGTGACATCTGGGCAAGTGCTCTCAACATCTCTGAACCTTGCTTCTTTCTCTGTACTATGGAGATAAAGTGTTCACATCCTGCCTCTCTGAGATCTTTAAGAGGATCAGATTGATATTCAGAGAAGTGGAAGGCTCTGGACAAGGTCAGGAGCAGCTGGACACACGTAATTAGAGGGAGAGGTCAACAAGAGGTGGAAGAGCAAGGCCTGGGGTAGGAGACTTATCTGGTCTTAAATACTGGCCCCATCATGCCTTTGTGTGTGGCCTTGGGAAGGTCATCTCACTTCCCTAACCCTCAGTTCCCTGGGATGGAGACAAGGGTGAGAGTTGGTATAAAGTGCCTGGCCCAGAGGGGCACCCAACTGATAGCAATTCTATAACTAACACCAGTAACAACTGTTACAACTAATAACAATTACAACCCAACCCTCCTGAGAGCACGCTAGTTGAAATGTGAACCACGTCCTCGTTGGCAATCTGATGATCAGGCAGCCATCCCGATTATTGGGTTGGAAGGGATTCAAGGGACAAGAAAATGTGGGGTGCGGCTGAAGTCAGGTGAACCAAGAATCAGAGTGACAGATGAGACCACGCTCTGATCTTTCTTCTGTGCCCTCTGCCCGCTCCTGCCCCACCTTAGACCTGCCAGAGCTTCACCACCCTCTGCAGCCTGACCCAAGCTGCCCAGATGGGGACAGCAGTTGGACAGTCCTGCTCACTCCTTTGCTCTCCTTGTATATGCCAATGTGGTGGCTGAGGCCAGCCCCAGGCACCCATCTGTGGACATCCAGTGTCCCGAGTTGAAGCGATGTCCACTTCAAGGCAACCCTTCTGAGACTGAGGGGTTTCCAGGGAGCTGCTATTCCCCAGCTGTCCATCTGGATAGAGACGTCAGACTCGGCACCTTGGAAGCTGGGATGGGCCCAGTCCTGGGGGTTAAGGACAGCTGAGCAAGAACCACCCTTGCTCCCTCTGCTGGAGCAGGATAGAAACTGCGAGAGAAGAGTCCTAAAAATTCACAAGGAGTTCTGCACAGCAGCTCTGAGACACTCCCACGTTGAGGGACGAGGGGAGAAGAGATGTCAAATGTGTAAGGTGTCACAACAGGGGACTGAGCCTCATGCTGCTTAAAAAAAAAAAAAAACTCAAATCCCAGAGGGTTCAAACGGCTCTCAGGATGACAGTGGCCACCTGGGAGGGGTGGGAAGTTTGTGCTTGTAGATGAGCATCGCCTGAAGCCCACATGAGCAGTCAGAACTTGGCCTGAGAACTTGGGGAGCTGCTACCTGAGCCCCCCACCCCAGGAACTTGTTGCCTCGGGGAGGAGGGAGCAGTTTCTCAGGGGAATGGTATGTGGCTGGCCCTGAACCCATGGCTTCTGGCTTCTCTCCGGTCCTGCCCTCTCACCAGCTCAGAGCTGCAGGGTGTGGCACTGGGGCTCAGAGGAGGAAAGAGCGGCTTGGACTCCTCTCCCTGCTCTTGGAGCATCATCCAGCTCCTAAAAATAGCTCGCAGACCCTGGAGGCTGCAGGAGGGCTTTTCAGCCAAGCCACTTGATCAGAGGCAGGACCTGATAAAGGGAAAGGGGAGGCTGAGCCTGGGGTCTCCCAAAGGGGAGAGGCTCAAGAATTTGGCCAGGCAAGGAATGGGAATGTCCCAAGGCACCTGGGGCCTCATACTCAGCCTCCCCCACTTCCTGGGCTGCTCTCTAGCCTCAGTCCCTCCCAGCAGGATATATCAGGTCGCCTTTCTTGGGGAGTAGAGCACAACAACACAGGGCCTAAAGAATACTGGCCTTGGGGGTCAAAAGATCAGCCTCACACTCCTGCTGGGTGACCTTAGTGAAGCCAGTGAACTTCAGTTAACCTGTCTATCAAACGGATGAGCTTCAAGTTCCCATCTTGTAGAGACTGTCTCGAAGTTTCTGAGGAACACAGACCCTGTCCATCAGCCTTTGCCGCAGTGTGAGCTAAAGGGTCTTCCTAAACCCACAGCTGTTGGCCCACCTGGGAAACTGAGGGACAGGCAGAGGGGAGGAGGGAGGGACAGCCTGAAACTCAATCCTCTTGGATTCCTCTTTTGCCCCAGGGGAGGACTTGCCCTGGGAGAGGAGGGTCAGAGGAGGAATTCCGGAGGTCAGGCTGCTTCCCAGCTGCTTGAAATTCCTTCACACTCCATCCCTACCCCCAAATTCCCTCCACATGCCCCGGAGAAGCTAAAATCAAGGGGAACTTCCCAGGCAAAGCAAGGTCTGTCCATCCAGACTTAGTGGGGTGGTATGGGGTAGGACAAGCCTTACACTTGGAGCGACATGAGGGCTGCTAAACCTAGGGTTAACCCTTTCATGCTGATAAGCTTGGCTCACCCCAGGGAAAGGCCTCCCAGGGGGGTCTGCCCCATTAACTCCCTTGCTTCTCAGCTCTTACTCTTCCCTAGGGAGGGGACGATGCTGGGGCAGGAAAGTCCAGGGGAATTCACCAGTAGGCTTGGAGAAGCCCCAGAGGACCCATCTGCCTCTGGACTTTTGGCCTTTCTCAATGTTCCCAGGACAGGTCTGAGTTCCTGGGGATGAGAGTTGACCACCAGGACTCATCTAACCTTTATGGCCCAGGTCTCACCCTGATCTCTGGGCCTTAAGAAGAACCTGCCTAGAAAGCACCAAGTCATTTGAGGGGATCCCTCTTGGTTAGGTCTTCTCTGTATTGATGGCAGGCAGTGGACCAGCAAGGACCTAGGCCAATCTACAGATGAGGAAACTGAGTCCCAGGGAGGGCAAGTGATGTATCCACGCCTTTACGACTGAATAGCATCTTTAGTGGCAGATCCACGACTTCAGCCCCGGTCTCTAACTGCTAAAATGTTTTCTTTTGTTCCACTGCACTAAGCTTGGGGTCCAGTCCCATCAACATCTCCTCTGAAGGGTGGTCCCCTCTATCAATCCAGTGTCCACTCAGAATGGACACACGTAGATGCTGGGGAAAGGGTCCAGGGCCAGGACCCTCATGTCCCCCCCCCACCCCCGCTCTCCCCTTCCCTAGAGCCTTGCTCAAATCTTACCTCTGAACAGGGGCTGCCGACAGATCCTGGAGGTCTGCTCAGCTATGGCAGGGACTGGGTGAGGGCAGGGGATGGAGAGGCTTTAACCAGGCGCGTGGGCTGGGGCCTGGGGAGCCAAGCCCTGCGGTGGGAGGAATGTGCAGCAGGAGACGGGGAGGAGGGGACACAATGGAGGAGGGTTGGCTGCTATTTTGGCAGGTGCCAGGGACAGGGCTAAAGGAACATGTACCCCACGCCATATAAGCCCATGTGGTCCTCCAGCTGCTCAGATAAGCTATTTAAAACCAGGACAGATATGCAGGGAACAGGGCTGTCACATAAACCAGCTGTCCCTCTTGAGAATCCTGATAAAGCCGATGCCAGCAACCCAGGCCTGGGAGGGCAGGCTGGGGACAGAAGGCAACCTCCAGGATACCACACAAGCCTCTGCACCAGGGTCCCAGGGGGCAGAGGGTGGGTGCTTATCTGCTCCAGTGGAAATGATGCTGTGGCTAAAGATGCTTTCCAGGTTGCTAGCTGCTTCTAACGAGCAGGTGGTGAGACCTACAGGCCTCAGTGAGGGCATCTCTAAAGGGGGCCTTCTCCATGACCCCCAAGGCCATGTGCCAAGCCCTCTGCACAAGCTGATAGAAGACATCGGATTCAAGTCAAAATGGTCATTCTCCTCAGATGGGCAGCTGGGTTATGTGAAGGGGACAGTGAGACTGAAATTCATTCCTCAACAGCTTTAAACTCATGATGGCCATATCCTGGGCACCCCGCTAGATCCATAGTTCAGGCCCAGGGTCTTTATTGTCAGTTTGCACATGTATGTCATGACCGAGAGCAGAGCCTGGCCCCTGGTAGGGCTGGTACACAAGGAAAATGAAAAAGAGAAGAGAGGACCCAGTCTGGGGGCAGCTGGGCTGATCTCCACCTCAATATCTCCGAATCTCCATGGCTTGCAGCCCACCTGACTTCAAAGAAGGAAGGGCCCTGTTCTGAACCAGGCCCACCTCTCCCCACGTGCCCCTGAACGCTGAGCCCCTGCACTTCCGGATCTTGCCAATTAGTGATCCACACTCTTGGTTTTCCAGAGAAAAATAAATCCAGCCTCACCCTTTTCGGCCCCCTCCACCCCTCGCCTGGCCATGTGTCCAGCATTCCTGGTGCGCATGCTCCTTGGTCCTGCCAACTGGGAGTGACAGTGCTGCATCCTGCCTATGGAACATCCATTTGCTTCACACCCACGCTGCTAACAGACTCTATCAATCAGCTGACCCGGTCCCCTCCAAGGTCCCCAGTGGACTCTGAGCCCAGTGGCCTTGATCCCCCTGCTACAGGCTTATCCCAGGTCACATGGGCCTCCATCCTGCCAGATCAACAGGAGGGCAAGCTAAAGCCACGGCCTGGCGGCCAGCATCCTGGGAAAAAGGGAGGCCTGAGGGCGGTGGCACCCTTTGTGCCTGCACACCCTCCCTGGGATGCCCAGTGAGGCAGGCTTCTGAGAACTTGGGAGCAAGACTCCATGGCTCCTTTGCTCATTTGCTTGACTTGGCAGAGAGAGGCAGGTGGAGGGAGCCATTCAGAGTGGAGGTGGGGAAGGAACCAGGCTGTCCAAAGGGCAGCTCAGCCTCCCTGACCCTGTCTCTCACTCTAGCCCACCAGGACCCAGGTTGCTGTATGTCCTGGCCTGGAATCTCCTGGAACTTAGGAGTTGCTTTTCTTACCTTAAACTGAGCCACTTTCAGTGTGTCCCTATTCCTCATAAACCAAATAACCCTTCAGACACCCAAACCCTTGTTTGCACGGATGCCTGAAAGAGGAGTGGGGGCATCCAGACCCCACAGAGCCCCAGGAAAACCCCAGTGGATTCCTAGTGTCCACAGGCTACTGGAACGAACCTTCTACTAAGTGTTCTAAGGCAGGGCATCTTCGAGACAGCTGTGAGACAGTCACTTAGCTGACGGGAAAAGCAAGTCACCATCCAGCAGTCACACCTTGATATAACAGGGTTACTCCTGACCCGATTCAGATGTCTCTGTCCTTGAAAATAGACAAGTCACCTCCCAGTGCTTTTAGATGGGAAGAGAAAACAAAGCCAGAATGGTAGGTGGGGAGAAGCCTGTGCAGAGCAGGAAGGCAGGTCAAGGGGTGGCGAGTGCATGGGAGACCTATTCTAACTCCAGAGGGCGCTCAAGCGCTGCCTCCTCCAAGAGGCCTCCAAGCCACCTGGTCACTGCAGCCTGCACCCTAGTACCAACTGAAGTCATCTCCCATGAACATTTGTCTCCTTGGTTATCAGCTGCCTTCCCGACAGGAATGAAGACACAGCGCTCGTGTGTTGGGCTCGTGAATGCAAAGGAGCCATGGAGACTTGCCCCCAAGTTCTCCCGAGAAGCCCGCGTCACTGGGCATCCCAGGGAGGGTGTGCAGGCACAAAGGGCACCACCACTCTGAGGTCACAGGTGCCAGAGAAGCCCTTCCCACTACCCAGGAGCCTCTCCTAAGAAAGTCGGTGATGAGTTGTGTTGGCTGGAAAAGTTCACCTGCCAGGGGAACTTCCTGAAGGACATGAGCATGGGAAAGTCCTGTGAAGGTCATCTGCTTGAACCCTGTGGCTCAGAGAAGGGTTTGTCTAAGGTCATACCCAGAATTCCATGCAGGGCCAGAGCAGTTGGGGTCCCCTCAGCCTCTGAGTACTCAGCCCACTCCTCCACCCTATCCTATTGGTTTCAACTAACTCTGGACCGGGAGCTGGCGTACCTGCCATTGCTACAGCCCTGGTGGGAGTGTCGGGTGCTCAGGGCATGTCTCCAGGGTCTGCTACCCTACTCGGTGCACACGGGGAGCCAGCTACAGGAGGCTCACCTCTCCAATGGAGGTGGACCAGTCTGGAAACACTGGGAAGTCAGCACACACAGGGCTCAGAGGGCCTGGTGCTGTCCTTATATGCCATATTCTAGAGAAGTCCTGGGATTTTCCCAGGCATGCAAAGGGCATTGGGCAGAGGTTTGCATCTATTCTCACCTCCAGGTGGTTCTGAGAAAAACTAGAGCAGTCAATTGGGAGTAATTATTCTGATGAATTTAAAAAAAAAAAAAAAAAGATAATTTTTACACTAAAGCTTTAAAGGGTCTGGAAGGCTCCGGACTAACTTGCTTAGATTGGTTGGTCCTGGTTCTCCAGTGGGCACTTTCCAAGCCCACGTGGGCCATGGCATTGGGAAATGGAGGAACGGATTTGGGAAGGTTGGGATACAGACAGGCTTGGCACTGTGGGTGGCAGTTGTCAACTCCCAAGTCACCAAGCTAGGGGACCATGGAGCGGCAAACCTACTACCTTCCTAGGAGAAGAGGAGAGACTAGGAAAACATCCTTCCTCCCACCCCAGCCAAAATCTTCCCCCTTGCACCCTGCAGATGTTTCTTGTTAGAAAACAAAGCCTCCAGGAAGGAATTCATTTTTAAGGTATCATTCATCATTTACACCTGAGAGTGAATGCGTTTATCAAATCTTTCCTGAGAACAGATTTTTTTTTTTTTTTCTGAGAGAGGGCAGGACAAAAAGTTGCACAAAAAGCCACTGAGCTTCTAGCCAGGCAGCATGCCAGGGAAGGGAGGGGAGAACAGGCAGGGGGTGGGGCACATGGACGGTACATGCCATCTCCTTCACAGTCTGGCCTGATCTCAGCAGGATGGGAGAGGCCCAGGGACTACGGTGGGTAGGTCCAGGCCTCAGTGTGGGAGCACCATAGGCACATGGAGGCACTCACTGGGACCATATGAGGCAGGTGACCCTGGAGTTCTTGCAACAGCCCTCTTCTGCCCTTGGAAGTGAGCAGGGGTAAAGGACATCTCTGGGTAGGACAGTGAGGCTCCACAGCACCAACGTGCATCTGTGTTGTGTCCTAGGCTGCTGCTGGGTCCCAGGATCTGCTGTGCCCACAGCAGAACAAGAAGGTGCCGGAGCAGCTGTGCTAAGAAGGAGCTATTGCTGATATTTCTGGCCCCCAGGAGTCCTGGCCAGACATGTCCAGAGCAGGAAGGGAATGGAGGCAGTGAGAGACAGGGACACCGCTGCAGGAGGCAGGGGCCTGCCATGAGCAAGGGCCCCGAGACACAGACTCGCAGGCCTGTCTTGGCAGGGCTTGTCACACCTGGAAGGCAAAGATCAATTAGAACAAGGGAAGGGGATCTCCGGACAGGAAGGTATCCCTTTGCCCTAGCCCCACACCCACCCGAGTCAGAGACCTTACGTTGGCCTGTTGAAGAGGGTGTGGCTTTGCAGAGCTGTTTCAGCAAAGCCAGAGGAGGGCTCTACCAAGATGCTGGTAGTGGGTCAAGCCAGCCCGAGCATGCAGGCCAGGGAACATTCTAGGCAGCTGGACTATGCGATTGCAGGTCAGTGAGCATAGAAACATAAGTGAGAAAGTGGGGCCTCCCACCATGAGCCCATAGCCCTCTGCCCCAGGGCCAGCCCCTCCTCCATTCACCTCAACATCCAGGGAGGAATCAGATTTCTTTCCCCACTGAGTCCTCTTGGTGGCCACCAGCTCCTTCCGTACATTCTGATTGGGGGCATCAGAGTGGAGACCAGGAACTAAGGTGAGGCTTAAGGAGGGGGCTGGGGTCCCCAAGGCCCAATCCCCTGCTTAGGATACCTCATTCCTGAAAGCAAAAAGGACCCCAGGCCACATCCTGTCTCTACTGCCTTCTGACCCGCAGGCCCATCGGCAGCCCTCCCCCACCCGTGCCCCGCCCCATCTCCACTCCTGAAACCACCCCTTGCTCTCAGGCTATCCCTCCTCTGACCCATGTCACTCCACCATGAGACATCAAGGCGGGACAGGATACCTGGGGGTTCTGATCTCCAGACTCCTGAGTCTTGCTGATCCACAAGTTGAGCTTGGATGTCACAACCCCTGGCAATCTCAAGTTGTCCTAAAAAGAAAGGCTCTAGCTTAGAGCTTGGTACCATTGGCAACTTCAGGGCATTTTCAGAGGCCCTGGACTAAGGACATGACTCTACCTCAGTCCCACATCCATCTGTGCTTGCCATGTGTACTGGGGATAGCACCCCCTGTAGGGATTCGTGTGCCCAGTTGAGGTGACTTGGCTTGAGGACATCAATGGTAGGTCAAGGTTCTTCCAACATTGATACATGAAAATACGGTTTTCTGGCACTGCTAAGGCCTACATTTGGGCTTTGGAGACCTCAGGGTGTCTAAGCCTGGAGACTCCCCAACAGGACTTCATCCCTCACCTTCCGGCTGGAGGCTGGTTCTGTGCGACTCTGGCCAGTCAGTTCCTTCTCAAAGAGGTGGCGCTTGCTGGCCACACCCACAGGAGCCACAAAGAACTCAGTGCGGGTGGAGCCTTGAGACCTGACCGATGCTGACCTCTGGAAACAGAAACACAAGCCACTGAGCTGAGCCTGTGAGGTGCATGACCACCTGGGCAGGAACCCTTGGCCCTGGGGAAGAGCCCCGCCACACCTGTATGGCTGTGTTGTATCTCTCCAGCTTCTCCCCCAGCTTGACTGAGGTGGCTGGCAGCCTCACGCTGGCACTGCAGGAGGAAGATAGGGTAAGACAAACCAGGTGAGACACCCACCTTGGGGAGGCCCTGGCCCTGGTTCCTGAGGAGCGGCCCCCTCACATCCTGCCATTTTGGCAAAGAGAACAAGGAATAGTCTGTAATGACTTGGTTAAGGGAAGACTCCTGATTCCAGGGAGTTTCCTCCCCTCTTGAAAAAGAGCCCATTCAGTGGGACATCCAAGAACAGAAATCTCTCACTCCTTCCCTCTTCCCTTCTCCTCCCTCATCATCTCCTGAACTTCCCCTTCCTGCCTTCCCTAAACCTGTGGCCACCTTCCCCTCTCCCTGCTTGCCCCGCTGAGCTCTCCTCTCCACTGCCACCAGATTGCTCCTACCTTGAACAGATTTTGTCCCTTCCAGCTTCTACCCCCTGGGGCCACAGGACAAGGACCAAATTCCTTGGCACAGCCCTGGAAGTGACCTGCCCCTACCTTTCCTCTCTGTGCCGGCACCTCCCCTCTCCCTGCCACATAGCTGGTGCCAGCCAGCTAGAATCCTGTGTCTACACCATGCCTTTCACCTGCTGTCCCCTCAATTCAACATGCCACACCTCCAGTGTTCCATCTGGGAATCTCCCACTACTTCAAATCCCATACTGAATGTCCACTGCTCTGTGACACCTTTCTAGATCCCACAGGCTCTGCTACTGCTGCAGCCACCAAGCTCTGAGCCCGTTACACCTTCCTATCCTGTACCTCCCTGCTGAAGAGACTCTGTATTTGATGGTCTCATGTGAGTTGCCTGAGGGCCGCCACTATCTTTTTTTTTGGGGGGGGGGGGGCGGTTTACTGGGGATTGAACCCAGGGGCATTCAACCACTGAACCATATCCCCAGCCCGTTTTTTAAAAAAATATTTTATTTAGAAATAAGGTCTTAAATGAGTTGCTTAAGGCCTCACTACATTGCTGAGGCTGGCTTTGAACTCGTGATCCTCCTGCCTCAGCCTCCCAGGCTGCTGGGATTACAGGCATGTGCCACCTCACCCTGATAGCTGCTGTATCTTATTTTTGTTCTCCTCATCCAACGCCCCCACCCCATGGCCTGGCCTAGCAGAGGCGGCCTCAAGAAGATTAGAGGGCAGAAGAATATAGCAGAGTGGGTCAAATTCCCAGCATGGGCAGAACCGCTTTTCAGATCCATTTTCAGATTTTTTCCAAAATACAGTCATCCATGCACAGAGCCTGGGGTCCTCATTAAACACACAGAGTCCCAGGCCTCCACCCCAGGCCTGCCAATATAGAGGCTTCCCTTCCTCGCTCTGTTATGAGTCTCCCTCCTGAAAAGCCCACCTCCTCTTCCCACCCCAACCCTGAGACTCGAGCCCCCTTCCTTCAGAGCTCCTCCCCCCAGCAGCTCTCCCGGATGCCCCTTCCCTTTCCATCTCACATGGCCTCAGTCCCTCCTGTTAATCCCTCCCTCTGCCAGATCCAGAGCTCTGGCAAGATCTGCACGTTCCCCTTGTGCAGCCTGGCACAGGAGGGCAGGGGCTCAGGAAATATTCCACCAGACAGCAGAGAGTTGAAGCCTCCAGGCCTCCCACCTGCGGGTTAAGGCTTTTTCTGAGCTGTCTTTCTTAGGGCTCATCTGAAATGAGAAGAGGAGGCAGTAAGTAGGAGTCCCAGGGAAGTCAGTGCCCCGCCCCCCAAGACAGAGCCCAGCTCTCGGACACTTCTTTCTCCCTGACCCCCGACCACCAAAGAAACACATGACCACACCTTCGTGAAGGCCCTCTTCTAATCTGGGAAGCACCTGCCTCCGCCCACTAGTCCTCGTCTTCTCGAGCCCTGCTCAAAGGGTTACCTACCACCCCACTGCTGCCCCACTGACCAAGAGCCCTGTGGGCACCCATCAATCTCAGGCCTCCAGCCTCCTCCCCAGGCCCTGGAATGCATTAGGGCACAAAGCACAGTCAACAGTGAATGAGTGGATGACCCAGTGAACACAAGAACTAAGAATAAATACTGGGTCACAGCCAAATGAGACTTCCCACTCCAGGTGATTTGCACTGTTGGGGTGGGAGCAGATCAGAGAGAGTGCTGTGGGAACCCTGCTGCTCTGCCCGGCTCTCCCTCCTGGGTGGGGACCAGGCTTGACACAGGCAGGTGTGGGGCCAGCAGCCCAGCCTGGTCCTGGCATCTGCCATCTTCCTGCAGCTCTGGTCTTCCCCCACTAGGTGGGGCTGCTCATGCTTATTTACACCCAGTCATTAACTTTTTCCTTTAATAGGAACTTGTGCATGTTTTTGGCCGGCTGTGGGACTCCAAAGCCCCTCTCCATCCAGTGGGTCTTCATGCTATCAAACCTAAGCCTCCTTTGCTATAATGGGTAGTTTCCTTGGCTTGCCCTCCAGAAGATTAGCGACAAGAATGTCCTGGGCTCTTACCCGAAAGGAGATGGTCCTGGGGCTGGAGCGTTTGAGGGAGCTGCTGTAGGTGATCTGAGTGGGGGAGAATGTGTCGTCTTCTTCTTCCTCCTTGCTGGGGATTTTTACCTGGGTGGAGCACAGAGTGACAAGAAGTTGAGATCTCACCGTCCTTGGCAGAGATCTAGGGCCCTCTCGGCCGAGGTAGCCCCTGAACCCAAGCTGCCGTGGGGAGCCCATGTGGCCAGGCTCATCCCAGGAGCTGCAGGAGAAAGGGGGCGGGGGAGACAGTCCTGGGCCTAACCCTCCTGCCTTTGCTGGAGGCAGCCAGGCTCCCCAGCAGGGCTTTCTAGGAGATCTTCTGGAAGGATCTGAGACTTCCTAAGGACCTGCTAGGGTCCTGGAGTCCAGGTCCTAGATGAGGATGTAGTATGGGGTCCCAGATGCTCCCTGCCCCACAGCTGGTGTCCCTTTCAGTGGCTAGGAACAGCAGAGAGACTCAGCCTGAAGGTGGGAGGACCGGAAGCAGCAAGGAAACCAGAGGCCACTGGTAAGACTGGCAGGGAGGCCAGTCAGGGAGGAGGGACGGGAGTACTGCCAACCTGGAGAGAGATGGGCTTGAGGCGGGAAGCCACCTTTGGAGGGTCTGGTGAGGAAGATGGGGTCTCCTCAGGGAGGGCTTTTTCTCTCTGCTCCTTGGTGGTGGCCTGGCTTTTCCCAGAGGCCTGGGGTAGCTCTGAGGCCACTGCCCTCTTTGGGGCCGGCTTCGTCTCTGAGACCGGTGACTTTTCAAAGATGGATGCTTTCTCAGACACCAATCTCCTCTCTGGCGTCTTCTCAGAGACACTTGCTTTTTCTAGAATTGACTTTTTCTCCAAGATGGATCTCTTCTCTGATGCTGCTGTTTTCTCAGACACAGATGTTTTCTCAGGAGCCGGAGACGTATCGGAGACACTTGTGTTTTCTGGAACAGGCTTCTTCTCTGAGCTGCCTCTCTTCCTGGGCACTGCTGTCTTCTCAACTGGAGATGTCTTCTCTGGGGCTGACCCCTTCTGCGAGATACAGGTTACCTTGCCAGGCGCTGCTGTCTTCTCTGACACAGGGGATTTCTCAGTGATTGAGGTCTTCTCTGGAGCCAGGGCCTCCTCTGGAAGCCCCTTCTTCCCTGCTGCTTGCTCCTCCTCTCGGGCCCAGGGTCCCCGCTGCTCCCGGCTCAGTCTTCTGCGGGGTGGGGGTTCTGGTTCCTTCTTGGGCACTAGGGGCTGCTTCATGGCCTGCCCAGGTCCCAGGCTGTCTCTTCCCCCCTCAGCCTCTAGCCTCTCCTGGATGGGGGTCTGTGCAGCCTCCACTGCCTGCCGCCTCTGCCTCCGCTCCTGCCGAGTCCTGAGAATTGTTTGGATTTCCTCAACTTCATCTTTGGAGGATGGGGGTGGTGGCTTGGGCACCTCGGCGTCATCTTGGGGTGGTGGCTTGGGCACCTCGGCTTCCTCCACGCTAGGCAGCCTGAGCCAGAAGATGGAGATGGAGGGCAAAATAGAATCAGAAGACATCAGAGGTGAGACAATCAACAAACACTGACCATGCAACAGTTTTATATGTGCCAGGGTGTGCTGGGAGTTGTGGGGGTCAACAAGAGTAAATGGGGTCCCTGCCCCATAGAGCTTAGATCACGGTCAGAGGTATTCAAAGGTCACACAGCTAACTGGAGAGAAAACTGGAATTAGAACTCAAGGCTTCTAAGTCACCATCCCATACTCCTGTCAGTCATGTGGGTACAGCTGGGATTAGGTGGCAGTCATAGGTTTGGCTTAGCCCAAGACACATATCCTGGTTCCCTCCTCTAAGGGGCAAAGGAACAAGAGCAACCTGAGAAGATTGCCCCAAACCTAGAGCACTTGGTCTCCAGCTAAAGGAGATTCTTTTCCTTCCACCACCCTGCTCTCCATTAATTTCAAGCCAGTCAACTCACTGATTCTCAGTTTTCAAATCTGCAAACTGAGCTTGCAGGAGGCATGATGAGCCTCCTACCCCGAGAACACAGTCCTGGTGCTGAGATGGCATTCAGTAAGTTCTGGGCCCTTCTCTCCCCCACCCCCCACTCCTCCCCTCAGAAGTGACTTGTGGGGGGTCAAGGCTGGAGGGAGGCAGCCTGCTGAACGGACAGAGTCAAGCCATGGAACTTTACAAATCCAAATGGAAATTCTGGCTGTATTACTCTTTAGGTATATGAACTTAGCATGGCACCTAAATGCCCTCCCACTAGTTTCTTCCTGTAAAACTGGGTAATAATCCCTGTCTCTCAGGGATAGTATAGGATTTAATGAGCTATGTCCATAAGATGCCCAGCCACTTATGGGCCTAAGGATGGTCCCAACAAACAGCGGGCACTGGTAGTTCTAATGCAGATGGAATCCAGCAGAGCTGAGGAGGGGCCTGGAGAGTGTGAGAGGAACTTGAAATTTGTCTTTGTACCCTTCAGCCTCATTCTCTGGGTCTCAAGCCTGGGGCAGGCCAAACGCAATGCACAGAATATGCCTGGGGCAGCTAAGTCCATCCCTGTCACCCAGAATGAGGAAATGAGGCCCAGCCCCCACCCGAGTACCTCTCAATGGCTGGATGGTCCCCATTCTGGGTGAGTTTGGGAGCCTCGTCATCTGTGGTGGAACTCATGTTGCGATGCCGGCGCCTGCGTTCACGTTCCTGCTCCTCCTCATCTTCTAGAGTCCGCTGCCGGGCCAGGCTGGGGGAAGGAAGTGGGGATCAGCACAGCCCTGGGGACACCCCAGCACCCTCCCCAAGACAGACTCCCAAGGGCTGAGAGAAGAGAGAACACCCTCTAGGCCTACAAGCATGGCAGTGTGGACAGTCTGAACAGAGCCACGCTGGACTTCAGAAACCCAGGATGAATGACAATATGTAAAATCTCTCATTCAGATTTGTGTAGGGGCCAGGCACAGTGGCTCACACCTGTAATACCAGCAACCTGGGAAGCTAAGGCAGGAGGGTCACAAGATTTGTGTAGCCGAGCATGGTAGCACACGCCTAAAGTCATAGGCACTTGAAAAGCTGAGGCAGGAGGATCATGGGAGCCCAAGAGTTCTAGGCCAGCCTGGGTAACACAGCAAGACTGCTAGATTTGCTAAATTGACCTCAAATTTGCAATCCTCCTGCCTCAGCCTCCCAAGCAGCTGAAATTACAGGTTTGTCCCACTGTGTCTGGCTCCGGGATTATAGGATGTTTAGCAGCAGCAGCAACAATTCCCAGTTGTGACAACCAAGTTTCCCAACATTACCAAATACTATTAATATACCAATATTACCAAATAACCTGTAGGGGTCAAAATCACCCCATGAGGATCACTGTGCTGAAATTTTCTCAGGACCCCAGAATGGAAATGTGGGGCCTCCCTCTCTGGGGTGACTAGGAATGTGGAAAGGTGAATATAGTTCTGCCCAAAGAAAGCAAACGAACCTGAGAAGTCCCTTTCTCTTTTCAGTCTGAGAATTCTTAGATAATATCCCTTAATGGACAATAAACAAGGGAACTTCCTCAGAGTTATCCAATTCCCCATAAAATTTCTTAGCCTTTAACGATGTGGGGCAGGGATAGACTCACACATAAGACCACTTACACCTGATTCTAATATGCCTTCATTTCCCAGGAGAACTTTGAACTTCTCCCATCTTTTAGAACTTCCCTTTGCCTGAAGAAGTAAGGGGACCTTGTACACCCTAATGTGTTTCCTGCACCAAGTCACCCTTTACTCATGGGACAAACAGGCACTCTCACAACCAGACCCCACTAATCCATCCAGCCGCTCTTCATTCACACACCTCTCCAGCTACCTGCCAATCCAAATGCCCCTCTAACTAGTCACTTACTGGTTTCCCTGCCCATTTCTGTCATCTTATCCACTGGCCTACCACCCACCTACCCACCTCTCCTCCAGCCCATCTTTCCTTCCATCCACCTGTCCTTCTAATCCAACCAAATACATACTTGCTAAGCAACTGCAAGAGGCCAGCACTATGTCAGGAACCATGGCTATCACAGAACAACATGGCAGGACCTCCACCCTGGAGAAACCTATAAACCAGTGATCTAGAAGCATATCCACCAAGAATTCTTCCAACCAAAGTACAGAAATGGTTCCGCAGAGTAAATGACAACTGCAGATCAATATTATCAGAAAAGGTTCACAGAAGGGATGGAACCTACACAGGATCTCAATGGGCAATTTCCATAGGGCTGATGGACTGAGGGGAAACGGCAATCCAGACAGAAACAGGGCATCAAGCAAGCTGAGAAATTTGAAGGAATGGGGTCTGTTGGGACAGTATACTGTGTTTCACCCAGAAAGGCAAGAGGATTTAAATAGGGGAGCACGGGGCTGTAAAGATTAGATGGGCAGAGCATTCTGTGGCACTTCCTTGTGAACCCCTAGTGCTCTTTGGAGCTCAGGCCAGAAGTTTCTAGAGCTTTCCCTGAGCTACAGCAATGAATAGAAAGCCTCCTCTTGCTGTTTCCAGGTGCCAAACTCTCAGGTCTCTTTAGCTCTCCTGGCCACTCTACCCCTGAAGTGTATCATCATGAAATCAAGCCTGGACTCAGGGGACTGGCTTCTGAAGGAAAAAAAACAAAAATCACATGAACCCACAAATTTCATACACTGAATTGCATCTAAGACGCACCTGCAGGGCTCCTGAAGAAGAGATTCCTCGGGAGTCTTTATAAGGGAGCATCAGGGCCTGGTATCTAGACCTCCTGCCCTGGGGCAAGTAGATTCCTTTCCTTTTCCTCAGTTTTCACTCTTAAAATGATAAGGATGAGCCACATACCAGCTCTAATTTTCTTCTAGGTCCAGCCTCGAATTTATAGAGCCCACATTTGCTAAACAAATATTTTTTGAGCACCCATGTCCCAGGCATGATTCCAGGGATGGGATAGAGTGGGGAATGAGACCGGCAGTCTCCTTCCCTTCACAGAGCATCGGGAGGAAGAGACAGACTGCCAACAAGGAAACAGGCCTCTGAACAAAGTGATGTGGGCCAGGTGTCATGAGGACGATGGGATGAGGTAAGTGACAGGAGAGAAGGTGCTTGGGTGGAAGGCCTCTCTGAGGGACCTGGTTCCCGAGCAGCCAGGGAGCCCATCTGGTGGCAATGTCCCAGAAAGGGAGCACAGCACACAGAGAGTCCTAGTATGATCAGAGACGGGTTCAGGGGACAAGGGCAAGCCAGGGCCATACAGGAGCCCACAGTGAAACTGGAACTGGACAGCAAGCAAGGGCAGAGCACAGGGCCATGGAGACCCTCTAGTATCCAGGATGGTGACAGGCACCCAACAGGTGCCAACAAATGTGAGAGAACAAGTGTAAACATCAGCTCCCCCAGGAATTGCCAAATCTCTGCCACCATCTGCAAGAGCACAAAGGTGGGGAGCAAATCCTGAGCCCCTTAAAGGCAATCTGTCCATCTCTCTGGGCAGGGAGGGGAATGTCTACCAGCAAATCACCCCACAGGAAAGGAGCTGCCTTAGGAGAGAACCTTCCAGTTTCTCCCAATTCTGCTACCAGGGTAGCTCTTTGGAGGAAGTATCTCAGTGCGCCCCTCATCAGTCTCCCCTCTACTCCATTTCAGTGCACATGCAGAGGAGCTCCCCCATCAAAGTTTCCAATATGGAAACAGGAACCCAATAGATGCCAACAAATATAAAGGAACAAGTGTAAACATCCATTTTCAGGACTCTGTCCTTAATCACGACCTTAAACAAGATTCCCCTGGGCCTTCACATGAGCCCTGTGGGTGCCACATATTTGTGGGTTGATACTTCATTCATTCACTTTCTTATGAGCTGGCTTCTGCTGGCTTTCATCTGAAGTCACGTCTCCACCTCTTCTTCTCTGGATGCACCCCTGCCCATCCAAGTTTGGAAACAGCTCTTGCCCTCCAAAGAGGGATCCACATACTGAGGAAAGTGACCCACAAAGTCAGAAGTTCCTCACTCCTGACCACACCCAGAGCAGGACTGGGCTAGAGCCTCTGGGATTCTTTGGTCCTGAGCAACCCAGTTCCCACACACGGTTCTCAGCCCTCAGGGAAGCGGTGTATTTGTTTATCCTTCTACGGGGCCCTATATGGTATGTGATCAGTCTGAGCCTGGTCTCTTCAGAAGTGACTCACTCCCTAGGCTGGTCCAGGCCTGGGCTATAGGGGATGGGGGCCAGTTGTCCTTGAGTGTTTCCAAGCTGCAAACCAAGACCCTGCAACTCACCCACAGTGACATGGCCACCCGGGCTGTTCAGAAATCTTGGGGCTTCCTTAACCCCATTACCTAGCAAAATAAGAGTCCCTTCAGCACCACCCCACCCTGAGGGAGGAATGTTATCACCAATAAGCAAAGATTATTGGCCTCTAAAGATGAGGAAATGAACAGAAATTGAAAGGACACAAGGCAAAGGTCAGTCCCCAGGTGGTATAGCTGCTAAGAGCCCAACAATAGAGTTGAGGGCCTAGAACAGTGCTTCATGTTTGTTGAATGTAGTGACAAATAAATTCAAAATTAAAGAATAAAGGAAGAAGTGATAGCACTAATAACAAGTGCTTCCCAAAACGCCAGGGACTAACTATTTTAGGATTACTTCAGTGTACAAATACTACAAATACCAGTGATGTTATCCTTTACATCCCTGTAAGGTGAAGGTCATCACTCCCATTTTGCATAGGAGGAAATGGAGGCATTTTCTGAAGAAAATGCAACTAAAGAAAAGAAGGAACTAAGATTCCACCTAAGTCAGCCACCCAAGACCTCATGTGGTTTACCATGATACCAACTAGCAGAGAAGGTTGTCCTGGGAGGATTTGCAGGGGGGGAAGCAGGGGGGGAGAGAACTACTTAGCAGCCCACCCACAGCAGAACATTAAGGGAAAGGAGCAAGAGAGCCCTGGAGGTTCAGGATTCTCCCTCCCAGGACAGGGTGCAACCTGAGAGGGCAGAAGTTGGGGAAAACCCAGTGACCTTTAAGCCCCAGAACCAGGCCCTGGGTGGAATCTGCAGGCTCCAAGAGCAGGGTAGTGCCAGTCACTCTCACCAGCTAGTGCCACAGCCCTGGACACCTGGCCCACCACTCCCTTCCTCTCCACAAACCTTTCCTCCACCTCCCAACCTTCATTTGGGATCAGACACCCTTCTATTTGCCTCATAGGGGCCACTAATACTTCCCCACCCCAATTTCACCAACTCTATCCTTTGGGTATGGGACTTCTCATTCTCTTTTATGTAATTCTAAAGTCCTTCCTCCCTGATAAGCTCACGTAGACCACTCTCCTATCTAATTTCCATCTGTTCTGCATCAAGGGCACCAGTGGTTGTTAAGTGTTAAGTATAGCAGCAGAACCCATTTTCCCAAATTGAATCCCATGCAGAAGCCCATTCTTTAGGCAGGGCTTTAACTTTATTCTAAGGAGCCCTGGGGGCTCTCTAGCTAGAATAAAGTTCTAGTAACTTTATTCTAGTTAAAGTAGGGAGAGGATGTGAAGGCTGCCCCAGAAGCATTTTGTTGACCCTGGGGCTCAAGAAGCAGGGGCTGGGCTGGGGATATAGCTCAGTTGGTAGAGTGCCTGCCTCACATGCACAAGGCCCTGGGTTCAAGTCCTAGCACCACAAAAAAAAATAAATAAATAAAAAATAAAAGCAGGAGCTGGGGAAGGGAAAAACAGAGGAAGAAACCCAGGCCTGGCCATGACCTTGGACCAATCTTTACCCCAGAGTAGGCAGGCATCAAACTCCCCTTCCACATACTGAGGGGTCACCATGAGTGGTCCAAGGTCCCTTTTGGCCCAGATGATCTAGGGAGAGGTGCCAGGAGGACTCAGGAAAGCACTTGGAGGTGGGAGGGCTGCTTAAGGCCCTGGCAAGGAAATGATTAACCTGTGGCTGCTTAGTCCCAGGCACTCCCAAATCCACTCCTCACCCCCTGCAGACAGGCCTGGCCTAGCCCCATGGTCACCAGGTCAGCTCAGGGAGGAAAGGACAAGGCGGCTGACCAGGGCAACTAGCCAGACAGCTCACAATCCCAGGGCTGGAGCGCCTGAATTTCTATGTACTGCCTAGGACAGGCCGCAGGCTGGCCCTCAGCTCCTCACCCTTACTAGGGTCCCCTACTAGGACCACACTCGCCACACCCTGCCTAACCTGGAGGCTCGGTTGACAGTGACTCACAGCCCTTTCCTGCTGGCCCGCTGAGGCTTGTTGTTCAGTCGAGGAGCAGAGCAAGAGCGAGCCTCTGCTCCAGGTGCCTCATCAGGGTGACTGTTGGCAGCAGCTACATCTACCCACAGGGCTCTGTGAGGGCTGGAGCCAGGCCGGGAGGGTAGGCCAGGGGCTTCCACGGGAGGACTGCTTCCCCAGACCTTCCGTGGACATCCACTTGGCCTAGACATCCCCTGGGAACTTGGCCCCACGCCTGCCCACCGTAGTCCATGTCCATCTGAGCAGTGGAAAAGCTAAGACCAGACCTTACTCCCGCTTTAAAAGTTCTGATGCCCCAGCTACGCCACCCCCACATACAGACACGTCCACCCTGCTCATAACCAGCTATGCTCTCAGACATGGAATCCATACAGCCCACCAGAGGATGAGCTTCTGAGGACATAGTGTCTGCAGTGTATTTTTAACCCAATACAGAGTACTGAGGTCTGCAATGAACATTTAGACTGAACATACTTGGATCTGCAAACTCTGAACTCAGTAATACAAAAACCCACTGCCCACACACACATCTCATCACTACACAGGCCATAAACATACTCGCCCACACCTATGGCCACACACACACTTCTAAGCATGCATTCATAGGTACAGATAATGCCACACCTAGAAGCCAAGACACTCCCACATCAACCCCGTGAACACTGACCCACATGCAGAGTCCAAGGCCTTGACCCCCAGCCCCACCCTCAGCAAACCTTCCCTGGGGTGTGTCCAACCTCTTTAGCAGCCTGGGTTCTTTTCCAGAGCACTGGGTCCCCTCCATTCTTGGGGCTTACCTTTTCCCCTCTTTAGACCCCATGGGCTTCTCTGCACTGGGGTTACTGGGCAACTGTCCCCAGAGCAGTGTGGGGTTCGGAGAGTCTGGGGAACACTCCCTGCCCCACTCCCTCCAGCCCAGGAGAATGAGCTGCTATGGGGAAGCTCAGTCTGAAATGCTGGAAAAGCTCTGAAGCCCTTCAGGGAGGGTGAGAGGGCAAGAAGGAGATCCTAAAGTGCTGGAAAATTCCTGCAAGATGCCTTGATAAGGAAGGCCTGTGGTACCCAAACTGCTGGAGGGTGCTTGGCTGCACCTGCAGAGATGGCCCTAAACTCATGATAGGTCTGAAGATCTAAAGACTCACCTGTGAGGACCCGAGAGGCCAATTTCTACCTGCTAAAAATCAAACCAAGGGAACAAGGTTCCAGCTATTGGAACATGTGCTATTGCATGAACCTCAGTTTTGTTAAGAACAAAGAATGAGTGTATGTTTGGGGAGACAGGGTGCCCAGTGTAAAGATGAGGAGATAAAGATGCTCATTCCAGCACTTCTGGAGAGGGGAGGAAGGCAGCTCCAAGAGAAATCACTAACCACAATGAGGGGGCTGCCTCCTGGATACCTGCCTTTCCTAGGCTTCTCAATCCTGACAGGAAGTTCAGCAGGGTGGGGTAAGATACTCAATCCCCAGACTCTTTGGGAAATGAGTTCTCAAATAAAGATGGGTCAGCAACCATCTTGAAGTCCCCAGCCAAGCTGCCACTCCAATGCCATACTCACAATCTGAGCCCCCCTTGATGGAGAAGGGGGGTGGTCTGTCTCTTTCTTGTCCTATTCATAGTTCCCCATTCTGCTAAAGTAAGGTCACTCCTATTCCCTCTCCCAAGAGGGGCTGACAGACACTAGGCAGGAGCCTGACATTACAGCTCTGCACGGGAGCCAGGCGCAGTGAGGGAGGCTGACTCCTTCCCAAACCCCCAAATGTTCTTTTTACCCCATGCAGCGGGGAGATCACACCCTGGAGCTGTCCAGGCTGAGGATCAACCTTCCTTCGCCAAGTACTCCGTTTGGGGTCCCAGCCTCAAAGGGAGGACAGGAAGATGGAGAGGAGCGAGAATACCACCCTGTCCGTGAAGGATCGTGAGTTTGGCCCCAATTCTGTCCCTCCCGAGGAGCTGCAAGACCGGGGACCAGACTCAGTGCCAGGATCCCAGGGCAGGGAGAATACCGATGACCAGGGGCAGGAGATCCGAAGGTCTGAGGCTGGCCACAGCCTGGCATGGCCTGGCTCCCCTCCTGCCTGCAGCAGTGCTCACCTGGACAGCGCGGACCAGTCCTTTCTGGTGACAGACATGCTGCTGGAGCCCCGCGGCCGCCGCGTGCGTGGTGCTGAGTGCTGGGTGCTGGGTGCTGGGTGCTGGGCGCCGGTCGCCGCGTCTCACCTGCGCGCCCCTCCCCCGGCCCAGGTAGGATCACATGGCCGCTTATCTCACCCGCGCTCGCGCCCCGCGCCGCTGCGCTCCGATTTGCCGACCCGGGAGCGGCCTCTGGGGTGTGGGCGGCCCAGACAAAGCCGCATTGATCTCCGACCGGCCGGTCTGGCCGCGCGGGGCGAGCGCCGGGTGGACTGTCGGACCGGCCGCGGGCTCACCGACGGCGCCCGGTGTAGCGCGGGGCTGCTCGGCTGCCCCGGGCGAGGGCGGGCGACTTCCTGCTCAGAACCAGTCAGACCAGCTTGGCGCTGGGCCGCCTCTTCTCAGTGTCGCGGCCCGAGTACCAGGGAGTGGGGCGGAGGGGCGGGGATCCGAAGATGGGGTCAGGCTGAGCTCTCTGCCTGTAAATCGACTTAGCCCCGAGAAACCCAGGGGCAGGAAGCCGAGCGAAAAAGTGGGAGCAGGTTACCGTAATCTAGCACCGCCTGGGCCCCCTCCTGCCCAACAGACCCCCCGGAGACAGGTTAGGTTTGGCTTCCTCTGGCTGCGTACAAAACACGTGCATAGGAAGACGACCCCTCCCTAGGTGAAACTCTGGACTCAAATCCGCAAGCACATCAGTGCCCACAGCACTGAAAACCCAAATGTGCAAAGGACCATCCTTAGGCTCTGAGACCCAACTGTGGGCGCTGGGGCAGGGTGTGTGACAGGACTGAGGAAGCTCAGCTTTGCTCCCTCAGAAGGGAAGAGGAAGTCCAGCTAACGGACTAGAGTTCTGGAGCAACCTGAGGCTGCTCAGCCCTGCACAGGTGTCCATCTGGTCTGTGCAGTGCCAGGTGCTTTCTATCCAGGAACCTGCTATTTAGGTGCTGAGAGGGTCAGGTGCTGAAGTGGGGAATCTCATCTGCCCTGAGAGATCAGAATTGCAGGGTCAGCGGTAGTAGCTGCATAGATCCTGCTCTGAGAGGAAGGAGATGCAGCCCCTGCACAGGGAGCAGAAGATGGCGGGCAGGAACTGCCAGGGTTCTGCTGGCCCTTGCTGCACTGTCTCAGCCTCCAAGTGCTAACTCAGGGCTGGTGGTCTGTATGCTGCCCTCCAATTCAGACCTCACCATGAAGGGCAAGGAGCTGCCAAGTACCAGGTGCACCTGCCTCAGGTACCTCCTGCCCAAAGGGCCCCTCCTCCTCTTGCATAGGAGGTGATGTGAGAGGCTCAGGGAGTGACTTCTGGTCAGGGATCCTGGAGACATGGCTTTGAGTGCTCATTCTGCCATTTATGAGATTGCCTCAGTTTTCTCCTATGTGGAGTGGGAATAATGATACCTTGCTTTGCTTCCTTCCAGGTTGTGAGAATCAAATAAGTTCCCTGATGGTGACAGGGGAGTGAGCACCATGAAGACTAATAAGGCCATAGATGGTTATGAGCACTCTGCTCAAAGACACGACCCTGAGCTGTTTGCTCTCTCCAGGGGGAAGAGGAATTGGCAATAGTCAACATCCTTGGATATGCTGATCCAAGGCTGGGCATGTCCCAGGCAGCCTGTTTCCCTGGAGACACAGTGAATATTCTCCCCATGATTGGTCCGTGATGTCATTTCAATATAGGAAGAAAAGTATCCTGGTTATTTGAAGTCTGACCCTGCCAGGGATACTTAACAAAGCTAGAGTACAGTCCAGTTTCTAAAAGCCCCAAATCCAATATTATCTCTATGTGAATATAAAAACCTAAAACATGGAAGTTTTAGGTGTGCAGTTGGTTTCTGGTTTTTTTTTTTTTTTTTTCCTTTTGTTATTTATTTATTTATTTATTTATTTATTTATTTCATTTTGGTATGCAGATAACCCAACAAGCAATTATACACATGTAATTGCCCAAAAAATTCCTTGAGGGAGGCACTGTGTATATACCCAGGCACTTCCTGTGTGCCAGGTACAATACGTTGTGCAGGGTTAGTAATATTAGTTTCCAAGAACTGTTGTAACGAAGGGGGTGGCTTTAAACAACACTTATTCTCTCACACTTCTAAAGCCTGGACATCTGAGATCATGGTGCTGGCAAAGCCATGCTTTCCCCAAAGCCCTAGGGAGAATCCTTTGTTTCTTAAAACTTCTGGTGTTTGCTGGCAATTCTTGAGAGTTCCTCGGTATGCAGCTGCATGACTCCAGTTTTCACCTCCGTTGTCACATGGCATTCTCTGTGAGTCTTTGTGTCTGTGTCCAAGTTTCCTTCTTCTTATAAGATTAGGACCAACCCTAATCCAGTCTGACCTCATTTTAACTTGATTATTCCTGCAAATATTCAATTCCAAATAAGTCACATTCACAAGTAGCAGGAGTTATGGATTAAACACATCTTTTTAGGGCAACAACAAGTGACTTTGACATTCAGGGACAGATAATGAGGACTTGGCTCCTGATCTCAAGACATGCCCCATTCTAGAGGCAAACACACACACACACACACACACACACACACACACACACACACTTTGGGGGAGGTGTATTTTTATAGCCCACAAAAGAAACGAAGGGGGCTTGAGTAAGGGCAGTTAGGAGGAGGGAGGGAGAAGATGTTGGCAAGAGTTTTGAAAGACCGAATTGTCAGGACTGAATCCATTGACCATGACTGGTGGCTCCCTTCCTGGTTTGAGGGACTGGGTGAATACAGATGGCACCAATGAGACAGGGTTTGGGGAAAAGACTTAGGGAGGAGGGTGACTACAGACCATAGACCACCAAGAGTTTCTCAACCTTAGTATCATTGACATTTCAGCCTGATAATTCTGTATTGTGGGGAGGACATGGGAAGATGGTCAGCAGCATGACTGGCCTTCTATCCATTTGGATTTAAGGTCCCTGAAGATGCCAGGTGGAGCTGTCCAGTAGAGGACTGGGCATTGATGTGGAAGCTCAAGAGACAGTTTTACCTTGTGTTTTCTAGAGCACACAGGGAAAATGTCAGTAGGAAGGAGGAGGGAGTGATTCTTTGGGGCAGGGAGGTCAGTATCTGCACCCATGTGTAGGCTCCCTGAATCTCTTGTGTGTCAGAGAGAGGAAAAGAGTGTCTTATTTGCCCAGTACTCCCTCAACACTGTGCCTGGCATGGTAGGCAATCAATAAAGGTTTGGAGAATTGCACTAACTCAATTGGGGAATAACAGGAAAACCAGATAGCCTGATAACCTCTGCCAAGGGTGACATTGAGAGACTGAGTCAGGGAGAAACTGAGGTCAGGGTGGTCTAAGAATCCAAGACCATTGGTCCCCTGGGTCTGGAAAACCAGATATGGAGCCTCAGCAATTCTCAGGGTAACCACTGGAGTATAAGTGACCGTGTCAGTCTTGTCCACCAGCCGTTGCACTTGTGGTAGACGTGTCCATCTGAAGAAAGGCTCATGAATATTCAAGGATGAGTCTACCATTGGTAGTAAAGAAACCTGAAAGCATCCAAATGTCCATGAGCAAGAAAATAAATGAGGAAATAATGGTGTTTTCATCATTTCATGGCAGTGAAAATGAATGAACTATAGTTATCAACAAGAATGAATTTATGACTTTATTTTTAAAGGGGGGAAGCAAAAGGCATGCATTTATGTAAGGTTTATAAAAAGATGAAAAACTAGGTAATGCGCTGATTGGAGGTTCATAAACACACAGAAATGTTATAAAGAAAATCAGATAACCATATAGCAGCTCCCCTGACCCTCAGACCCTCAGATGATACAGATGATACATTCCCCAGGGAATGCCTAAAACCACAGATAGCACCAAACCCTATGTACACTATGTGTATGTGTATGCACACACATCTATATATGCCTATGATAAAGTTTAATTTATAAAGCACAATAAAGAGATAAGCAGTAATTGATAATAAAGGAACTGGCGGTATAGCTCAGTGGTAGAAACAAGTGCTTAGAACATGTTCAAGATCCTGGGTTCAATCCCCCAGGGCTAAAAAACAAAACAAAACCACTAACTATAAAATAGAATGATTATAACAATATACTGTGATAAAAAATGTCAGCATCACTTCTCTCCTGGGGCCATTATTAAGTAAAACAAGGGCTACTTGAACTCAAGCACTATGATGTGGCACAATGGATCCTATCATGGCAATGGCCGAGTGTGTGGCGGGCAGGAAGCTTACACAGAATGGACATGCTGGACAGCGGGATGGTTCACGTCCAGGGCAGGATGGAGCAAGACTTCATCACACCACTTAGAAGAGTGCGCAATTTAAAGTTTATGAGTTGTCCATTTCTGGGACTTTCCATTTAACATTTTTGGACCCATGTTGACATAGGTAGTTGGAACCACAGAAAGCAAAACCATGGATCAGGAGGGTTCCTCTAAACATGAAATTGAGACCCACATTTACCTTCATAGACAGGCAGCCATCGAGACTTGGGGAGGGGCACACAGGGCTTCAAAAGCATTTACAATATCCTGGTTCTCAAAGTGGGCGGTTGCTATCTGGGTGCTCATCTTATAATTCTTTAAATAACTGCAAACGTTTAAAACGTAAGCACGTGTCACTCACTTCCTCCAGGGAGAGTCCACCAATTCCGCGCTTAGCATAGCTGGGTATTCCCGGGTCAGGGGCCAGAGCTTTTCACCATTTCTCAGCCAGGGCTGGGGGAGGGATCACTTCATTTCCCCCTCCCCTGAGGTTCTGAGGGGGGGCCCCAGAACTTCCAAGTTCAGGCTTGGGATCCCCCCAAATGAAAGATTCATAGGGCAGCTTCTTTTCCAGAAGGCTAGAGTGGAAATCTGGGGGATCCCCAGCCTTGGACAGCTGACTTGGAGGTCATGGCTTGACATTTCAGCTCTGTTCCCAGTCTACCACCCCCTGCCACCAGCAGCTGCCATGCCTGTGGGACTCTTAAGGGAAGAGGAGAAGAAAAAATGTAGCATAAGACCCACACCCTGCAAAGATCCAGGACAGG